GCAAGTAGGTGTTGAAAAACATTTAACATCTTTTCTCCTTTTATGACTTCACACTTATTACTAGATAATAGTAAGTAGGAGGATTTCAACTTTGAAGCTTTTCTTTTTCAGTCATCTGTGAATGCATACGGTCGCGTGTTAGAAATCGATCCCAGCAGTGATTATGCGATTTGTGTAGGTTTTATTCATTGTTCTCCCAATCTTTCAAGAAGCAAATGATCGAAAAAGGTTTTGAAATGGATTCAGAGGTGTAGGTTTTATTCATTGCAATCTTTCAAGAAGCAAATGATCGAAAAAGGTTTTGAAATGGATTCAGAGGTGTAGGTTTTATTCATTGTTCTCCCAATCTTTCAAGAAGCAAATGATCGAAAAAGGTTTTGAAATGGATTCAGAGGTTTATATGGACGAGTCTGCCTGATTAGTTTTGAAGAGCACTCGTGAATGCATTTCCCATAAGACCTTGAAGAATAGGGTTACCTAAACATGTCATCATTTCGGTTAGTTCCAATTTAGCTGATACAAGTTCTAATGCGTATGCATAATCTGGAAGGTGCTGCTGAACAATGTACTAAATGGCGTGCAACGGGTAGCCAGAATGCTCAGCTAAAGAATGCTGTCGATATATTGGAAGCACAAGTAAGCTCACATTTTCCTATCCTCGGGCATTAGTTTTGACTTAGATTCCGGTAAGTTTTTTCACAGTATATAAATTTAGGTTCATCTGCGACTGTTTTTCAACACTCTCGGTGACGAACGATTCGAACATTTGAAGAAGGTCTTCAATTTGTTAGATGGTGTGATAGCTGGGCGACCTCGTGTATCGCTAGCTTATAAGCTGGCCGCTGATGCTCTTCTTCATGCAATAAAATTCAAAGAGGAACTGCTCGTTAAGTTGGAGGTAGGTGTCAGCGTGCAGATTCTAATCAGTTCTTTGCAAGATTTGCTGCTTTTCAGATTCCATCATCGTGGTCGATATCGTGTCGATTGACTGCAGTCCGTTCAGCAGTGATGTTCTACTCGGTGGCGCTTGATTTGAACCGGGAAAATGCGTGGGCATGGAATGACCTGGCGATAGCTTTACTCTGCCTGGCCAGAATCGACAAATCCGAACAGCATGCGGCAAAGTGGGTTTTGATAATAGAATTTCACTGAAACAGTTGGAGTTAGGTAGTGGAAGGAAGGTGTTCTCTTCGGTGGCGCTTGATTGAATCATGAAAACGCTGGGCATGGAATGACCTGGCAAGAGGCTTACTTTGTTCGGCTGGATTGATTTGATTGATTGCGGGCTCTGCAGCGCTTAAAAGTTGAGCAAGCGTAATGGAACGGCTTGATCGGCATATATTGCGTGGTAGGAGGCATAAGGCAGGCGTCTCTCTTGGCCAGTTGCGATAATCTTCTTGAGAAAGATCTTCCTCATGTTCTGCGGTTGTGCTGCATTTTGTAGCTTAGATCATGATAAGGAGGCACCCAAATTCAAAAGAATCCTGTCTCAAGGAAGTATTTTAGTAAGGCTGAATTGGTTCATAGAGTCAGGATATGAATAGCTGCGTTACTTCATGCTCATCGTACCTGATACCTGAAGGATAGGTGCAGCGAGCTGAGTTACCAGTTTGCTGGCAGTTTGAACCCAAGGTTCATTTCTGTAGCCTGGTGGCCGTACGTGTGAGCATTAGGTTGTCGCTTGGGATATCTCTTTTAGAGAAATGCCCTTTTTACTTGTAGGGCCCACGAGTGTTTACGAAAAGCCATGAGTTTGAGCAAGTGTGCTCAGATGCGTTCACAACTGTGGACCTTGATTGCTGAGGCAGAGCGGTTGTCAGCTATGGCAAAGGATGCAACAGCGACGGACACGATGTCTGTTGCTCTCCAGCAACATTACCTTGTTCGTGCGCTTCAACTCAACAAAGCGAATGACGAAGCGTGGCTACGTCTAGCCTTACTCTACTACACTAATGGAGCGGTAAGTAATCAATTGCTTAATTCAATTGTTTCCAACAATAATTTGGCTGGATTGGATTGGCTATAGTGGTTATATTTATATTCAGATGGTTGAAGCCCATCTCACAATAGAAACGGCTCTCAAACATAACCCACAACTTGCTGAAGCATGGTGTGCCTGGGCATTGAAAGCTGAGTCGGAAGGATTGGGTCACGAAGCAATGGATATGTTCCGGCATTCCATCTCAATTAAACCTGTGGTGAGCAACTCAGAATTAAAAATATTCTTAGATGGGGTCTTTCAGTAGTTTTTTTGGATCGTGCGCTACCCATCCGAAACTCCTGTTGAATTTTTTCGTCGGAGTATTGGAGGAAAATATTTCATTGGGGCGTGACCATCTTTTTTCTCAATACAAGTTAATTTTTTTTTCAAAGAAGTCTAAGCAATCTAAGAAGTTTAGGCTGCAGCTGTGATGAAATACACGGCGTTCTTATGTCAGTCGTTACGAGTGAAGAGTTTCGATCCAGCTACTGTAATGATCGATTTCAATAAAGTGCTGCGCTTACGAGGTTTGTGAGGCGCAAACCGCTTCGATGTTTCTCTGTCCGTGTCTCAATGTTTTATTCTTTCCTGCAACACAAAAATTATTTATTTTATGAATTTGTTTAGATGAATCGGACTCTTCTGACAAGAACCTCTTATTGCACATAGGGGTACTTGCTGAATTGTTTGGTCACTATGAAGATGCAGTCCAATGTATATCTGACAGCGGATATGATGGGCCACATCTTCAAAGAGCTCGAATGTATGTTTGAGTTTTTTGCTGTTGCTCTGTGGATAATTGCCGGCCTTTCTGAATTTAAATGTTCTCAGAGCTAAAGTTAGAGAGCAGAGTATATTTCGCCTTGTAGCGTTCCAGTGTTGCTCATTTCAAAATTTAACTAGCCGAGCAGAACAATTCATTCTCCTCAATTTTTTACCCTTTCCACTCTGATATGTTTTCCAATAGTCTTCGATTTTTCTGAATCTTGAGCAGTTTTTTTTCTGGTGGTCATTGCTAATCTGTTTAGGAAGGCAGGTCAGGATGTTCATAATCCTGCAAAATCTCTTGAGATGTTGGCAAAGCTGTGTTCGAAGACATCAGAGGAGCTGTTCAATTTGCTAAAAGAACACCAGCCGCTGTACAGAGATTTGTTTGAGCGTCTGGTCGCTCCGGAAGCGCAAGGACTGCAAGAGTTATACGCTTCGTTCACAAAGTCGATATCGGTACCGCTTGTTGTCGCTGCAATACTTCGGTTTGAGCTAGTGAGTCCCTCCTCGAAAATGGCTTTGAAGTTTCCGTAACGATTGGTGATTTAGCCATTATGCGATCAAGCTGTAACGGTGCTTCATGATGTTTTACCGCGTCACGAGTTAATTGATGTTTTCCCAACCATCATGCCTGAAGGTATGGATAATGGACTGAAGTATGTGGAGCAAGATGGCGAGGAACCGTTCCGATATAGCCATTTCATTGCGAAGGTATGGGTTCCAGAAGTTTTGCCGAAGAAAAATTAATATTAAGCTAATTAATCAATATTAAAATTATAGACCAATGTATCAACTTTACTTTCTCACCTCATTTGTGCTGTCGCCACTTTTCCCGATTAAATGCTTGGTCGGGGTGGATGTTAACCAACTTCAAGTCTGCGTGCAACGTATCGAGCCAGCGCTGTTTCGGGCGCCCCTTGGGCCGCTTTCCGTGCACGTCTATGTTGAGGCCGATCTTGCGAACACTGTCATCATTTCCGCGAAGAACGTGGCCAAACCAACGAAGCCGAGCTTCGCGCATTTTATCAGCAATGGGAGCTACACCAAAGCGTTCTCGTATGACATCGTTCCGGACGCGCGATCTAATCGCGTGACACCAGCCGTCCAGCGCAGCATCTTCGTCTCCATTACACCGAGGCGAGTTTCAGTGTCCCTGGTCGCTGGCCAGCACTCAGCGCCGTACAATGCCACTGGTCTTATGACTGTCCTATAGATCTTCGATTTTAGGCGTTCTGGGATTTTCTTGTCACAGAGAACTCCCGTCATAGAACGTTTATCCATCTAAATTATGACCAGCCGTTTATGACCTCACTCCGAACGGAGTATCCCTAATCATTCAATAACTGTCTAAGAGTTGTGATTTCTAAAAGGTATTGAATGTCAGTTAGTATCGTGTCAGCTCTAAACTACCCTTTAAGTTGTTTTGATAGACCTATTCGCCTTCCGATTGTGTCGGTTGTTCAAGGTGCCTACGTTGTCAGCAGTACTTCTAAACGTTAACTGAGTCGACATCGCTAGGTCGAATGACCCAGCTTAGCGCTGTTGTTATGAAGTACGTTTTGTCTTCGCGAGCGAAATTTCTCCACGTCAATCAATGCATACGAGAAAATGCGTCATGAGAGGATTTTCTCTGCTGAATTCTCTATGAAGTGTGCACATTTAGTGACGACAACGACAGAAGTGGGTGGAGAAAGCTAACAGTCCTCTGATGTCCCGAAACAAGAGAATAGAATTCGTCGAACGCCAAAGTGAGTTTGCATCGGTCTTTGGGTTTGAAAGTAACATCAACCACTGCGATAAGCCTGTTCGGGACCCATTGTTGTCGATGAGTGTCCCGATTTACTTTCAGTGGAAGCGAGATCAACAGCGTCTCCAATACTATGTAAAAAGGCAAAATGCTATGGCCGTGGTTTTGTTTTTTGCACGACAGGTGTTTTTCTACGCAAAAACGGCGGATGTATGGGCATAATATGGTAGCCAGTCAAGGTCTCAGGTACCCGAGCCGCATTGGTCACGTAAGCTGCTATGTACGAATACGGGATTGATTCAATTCGTTCGAATACTGCATTGCTTGTGGAGTAGGCCGTTCGAATTGGTCGGTAGCTCGTTGCAATCTGCAGGACTCCCCTTTTTCTTCTAAATCGGGATCGTCGTACTCTGTTGCCAACTCTCCGGCACTTTCTTTTCTGCGACGACTTGGTTGAAGAAGTTCGTCAGCCACTCTGCTGGATTCCAGCACTGTGACTTCCACAGATCGGCCGCCAAGTCGTCGGGACCCGTTGCTTTACCTGTCTTCATCTTCTTCAAAGCCGCCTCTGTTTCGCTCACAGTTATCTTCGAGACAGGGCCGTGGACCGGAGGAGCAGAAGGTATTGGCGGGTGTGAGAATTCCACTGTCGAGATTTTCTCGAAGTAGTCGTGCCACCGCTTCACAGCCCTCTTGCGGTCCATTACGAGTCGCCCGTTCTCGTCATTGATGCCAAAGAACTTCTCGATATCTTCGGTCTGGCGATGGCGAGCCTTGGCTAGTTTGTAATATAGCGTTCGCCGTCGCGCGTCTCGAGCTTCTCGCTAACGCCATCGAGATGAACTGCTCTAGCAACAGCCACAGCTTTCTTTGCTGCCTTCTTCTCGCCTCTGATAGTTGTTCCAGTTATCGCTTGACTTGTCACCGAGAAACACTTGGTAGAGCCTTTTCTTCTCCCGTACTTTTTCTCTGACAGTGTCGGTCCACAGCCATGTCTGCTTGTCGATTTTCCGCCGTCCAGGCTTCGTAATGCCAAGCTCGGAGCGAGCAACACGGACTATCGCTTCTGTGGCACATTTCCATGTTTCGTCGACAGTCGTTACTGGCGGTAGCCGAATGCGACTGAACAGAGCGGATTCCTTTTCTTTCAATCGCCACCACTTGATCCTTGCAGGCCCACACCGTTCGGCTTTCTTGGTCCTTGGAGGGGCAATCTTTAATGTGCAAATCAGTGGTCGATGTTGCGTAGCGACTGTTTCGTACGGCACTGTTTTCGCTAAGCAGTTTCTGTACTAATCCGTCGAATCACTGAGTTGCCTCACTAGAAAAAACGAAATCATCTGAGTTTTGGTATTACCAGCTGTAGAACGTGATGAGAGAGATCGTGAGCCAATACTCTCGGCTTAAGTATTGGTTTCACAGATGAGTGAAGATTGTGAGAGCTTGCATATTCAAGAATTCGCTCACCATCGGCGTTTCGTGACCCATAACCAAACCCACCATGACAACTATAACCATCTTTCGCAGATCCAACGTGTCCATTAAGGTCACCTGCGACAATGATAGCGTCCTCCGATGGTACCTCAGCGGTTTTCTCATCTAACAGGGCCCAGAACTCGTCCTTGGCTCGTTCGGAGCAGCCAGTCTGTGGAGCGTAAAGTCTGTAAAAGATGTGTTTTTGTCGTTTAGATGAGAAGTAAAGTCTGCACATTCATAGCAACACGAATCTTACATCAAGCGGTCTACGTAACGTTCGATCATTCGCATAGAATGCGGAAACGTTCGACCAACACAGACTTGAACATGCAGCGCGATCTGCTAGGTTGTACTAGGGCTAGCACAAACGACTTTAAGCCGCGGCCAATGTCCCTCGACTTACAGCAGGACCACCTCGTTTCCTGCACGGCACAGAAATCAATTCTTCTTCGCTCCAGTGCTTCTACCAACTCGCACGAGCGACCTGTCAATGTGCCAACATTCAATGTTGCAACGCGAACCTTCCATACGTTGCGGAACTTTGGACTAGCCTAGTTGCCCCCCGATGCCGTCCTTGCATGGAGACCCATGATACTTTTACACTCAGCAGACGGCTTTGCTGAGTGGCGATCGGATCTTCGAAGAGCCGTAGCATTATCTCGATACTCATATAGCGACATGACATTTGTGATGTGACGTGGGTGTTCGTAGGCCGGCCTGTCACGGGGGCCTGTCGCCTGCATTCGAATGTCCGCGTTTGGCTCAGCTCACAAAGGTGAGCAGTTTCCAGTGGCACCACTTGGAGGAACGGACACACCACCATATTAAGCATTGAATAACATAATAAAATTATTGATAATGTATCAACTTTACTTTCTCACCTCATTTGTGCTTTGACATTTGCCTTACTCTGCCGTAAAACGACAGTTGAGACTTTTTTGTGCGTGGTAGGCTGAATTGGTTACGTCGAGGACCAACGATGAGTCTAATGTTCCTTCCCGTCCACATTAATTTCAGCGAACCGGTTTCAGCCCGAAGGTTTGCTGCCTTGGGCGTGGTTTAGTAATTCTTTTTGGGATTGTATACGAACTCTTTAATGAGACTACCAAAATCTCACAAAAGATCCAATAGGTTCTTTCAGGCTTGATCTTTGATTTGCATACGGCTTTTTTCACGAATGCTTTAATAGGGCCCTCTGTTAGAGTCTCGAAAGTGTTTTCAGCGATCATGAGAGATTGATTTCAGCCATTGTGGGAGATTCTGAAGAAGCGTCGCGACGAGCTGGAAAGCGAAGCTATTGACGGGTCACCGAGTTCAGTGTGATAATAGCCTTCTTAAGGGTTTTGCCTCGGGTGTCTTTAATTACGTAGTAATAAAGATTGAAAACTCTATTGTGCTGTTCACTTTTCAAAACGGGTCCATTTCCCGCGAGTATTATAACTAGTTTTCTCGTATAACTGAGTATTTTAGCACTCCTGCTTTCACATTAGTTCATTACTTCCTTTGACATCTCTTCTAGGTCCACACATAGTCTGATGGCGAAGAGCTAAAATGAGGAAACAGATTGTAGCACAAGGTGATTTGTGTCCGCTCAAAGTGATGCTTCAGGTCGGAGTATGCTATATAGGTACAAATCATCTAGACTTTCGAAACATCTTTGCTACTGATATTTTTTAGGACGTGAAAAAGGAAGCCATTGAAAAACTGTTGCGGTTGAAGCTGACCTACAAAGAGATAACTGGCAAAGATTATGCGGCTCCTGGTGGTCGTAGCAAAAAGTGGGCGAGTTACCTTTTGCGTAAACCCGTTAATAGTTCAGTTGCACTTTATTTCATGAATTCAGGATAAAAAGCCTGCCCCGGAAAAGAAGCAGGAGAAAAAACAGGAGCGAAAGCTGAGGAAAAAGCAACAAGTTGGAATCGAAGTTATACGAGAAAATTATTCTGAATGGTATGGTCAGGTGAGCGTGGACCCTTTTGGCTTTGATGTACCAGCGGTAAGAGGCTTACGTCATGTGCCGTCGTTATGTACGACCTGCTTATCTTTGTTCAGATATATTCTATACCAGTTTTGCTCCGCCCGCTATCGCGCGCATCACACGGCAGGCTTTAGTGAAACTGAAAGACCCATGGATTATCAGCATGAGGTCCTCCATTAGCCACCTCACTATAGAATGTGTTAGACCTTTCCCAGTTTCGCTGAAGTCCATCGAGAATGATAACGTCTGGAGCTGAACTGGCATAATTATCTCACAACTGTAAACATCCAGCATTCTTCTTGAATTAAGATAATTTAGCGGTGAATAGGATTGCTGTCAGTCTCAAAATCAAAACGAAATATGCCTATTTACATAAGTGAGAGCTAAGGCTTATCATTTATTTACATTCACCATTATTTAGAACCCCGAAAGGATTAGCGGTTTAATGAGTTTGGGCTTTCTTGATAGAAATGAAAGTTATCATTTGCTGAAGACTTGAGTTTATGCATGACTGCTATTATTTAAGGTGGTCTACAATTATAAATGAGCAATACCACTACAAATAGAATTTGTAAGTTGGGACGCTATAGCGTCAGCGCTAACGGGATCGACGGCTTTTGCGTTCTGACGCGCCTTATCACGCACCCTTATCAGTTGCAATCGCGGTTTCAATCACCCACCTACAATGTTCCCGTCCCACCCCACATGACACCTGCGAGTATGGGACGCTCTAGTGTCAACTGGAGTTACTTGACAGAATTGACGACTTCTGCGTTCTGATGCCCTTATCAGCCATTATCAACTTCGTATAGCATACACGCCAAAATTCCCGTCACCCCTCATAACAAATGAGTAATGGATGTCTGGTGTCAGGCGAATCACTATGGAATTGACGACTTTTGCGATTCTGCGCCTTATTCACCCCTTATCATTTCCTAATTTGAATACACCATCAGCATGTCAGTCCCATCCCTCCACATAACACTTGTAAGTATGGATGCTCTGGTGTCAACGCGAGCTGGGTAGGAATCGACGACTTTTGCGTTCTGACGCGCCTTATCAGCCTTTATCAATTGTTATCACTTCCAATCACCCATCAACAATGTTCCCGTCCCATCCCACATATCTCTTGTAAGTGTGGGTGCTCTGATGTCAACGCGAGCTGGGTAACGGAATCGACGACTTTTTGCGTTCTAACGCATCTTATCAGCCCTTATCAGTTGCTATCGCTTCCAATTCATGTACCACCAATGTCCCGGGACCCCCACATAACACTTGTAAGTATAGACGCTCTAGTACCAATATGAACGACAAAACGAAATTGGCGATGCTCGCTTTCTAGCCCCTCTTATCAGCTATTATCAGTCGTTATCAGTTCCTATCACGTACCACTTGTGTCCCCATCCCACCCCCTATAACATATGTAAGAACCACTGCGCTATCATTACTGTGACTCGAGCTATGAATTTCCGGTCAAACACACACACACACACACACGGACACACCAGACACACGCTAGCCGCTTATATATAGTAGGATTTGTGCTGTTTAGTGAGAACTTCTCAGTTTACAGTTCAAATAATTTGTATCTCGTTGTTGAAGGTGATCACGAAGGCGGAAATGATTGAATATTACGATGTTTCTGGATGCTATGTGTTGCGTCCATGGTCGTATGCAATCTGGGAATCCATTCAGGTTATTTCCTAAGTTTTCTTTTTCACGGTGCAGACTTTTTATAGGCAATTTTTTTATAGTGTACTTTAAATGAGCAGACTCTTGGACTGTGTTCTACTTCAATGTTTCCAACATTTGCCATCACGATTTTCCGATGAGCTCAGCGGACTGACACTTTTAATTGGCGGTCATTTGCGAAGAAATCACCACGCGACATCGCGCGTGCTTGTGTTTCAAATTTGTGCACATATAGAGGCGCTTTGCATCACTAAAGCCATATGGACGCGCGGTCGCGCAGTAGATGTCAACGCTAAACAGGGTGCTGACGAGTCGATAAAGAATGCGACACACGCGGCGAGGTTAGCACGAGTATCTGCATCATAGGTGACCGTCCACGCAGACGCTACTCTGGGAGGCATCTTTCCTCCTTTTACGCCATGTTTGAACTGAGGTGAGCGCGACATCGCACCACTCTCGCATGCTCAGCCTTAGCCTTTTTTCCTTTATCGTAACAAATTCGGGCGCAGCATACAGGGTTATGGTTTGCTAGGAGAGAAAGCGACTTCCCGCTTTTAGCAGCGTGAAACTTCCGCTGCAGTAACCCCAGGCCTACTACTGATCGGAAGTGGAAGCTGGGTTCCTCACAGCGGAAAGTATCGCGTGTGAAAAGCGGAGTCGCTCTCTGTCTCTGCGAACCCACCCACATACAGGTTGTTATTGCGATGCAGGTGGGGATAATCATCCAGCTTCCTAGTGAATTTTGGTAGCTTCTTCAAATCGAACGCTTTATTTGGCTCCCGATTCAGTAATGAGCAGTTAGTGTGGCAGCAAACTCCGAAATTTGAACTGACTCTGGGGTTTAAAACCATTTTTTTCTCTGAAAAATAAGTATTTTTTTAGGCATGGTTTGATAGCGGTATCAAGAAACTCGGTGTGAAAAACTGCTACTTCCCCATGTTTGTTAGTAATGCAGCGTTGGAACGAGAGAAGACTCACATTGCCGACTTTGCCCCAGAGGTGATTCTTGCCAGGCTTTCTGATCTGACTTGATTTTGGTTGTTTACAACATGACTTTAGGTCGCTTGGGTGACTCCGAGCTGGTTCATCCGAATTGGCCGAACCCATAGCTATCAGACCTACATCGGAGACGGTAATGTATCCTTCATACAAGAAATGGGTGCAGTCGCATAGAGATCTGCCTATCAAGCTCAATCAATGGTGTAATGTCGTAGTAAGTTTTATTTCGCTTTTCAATGAGTATCAAGTTCCAAGAAAGTAATTTCTTTGATTCATTAATTTTAATAACACAATTTTGCAGAGATGGGAGTTCAAACATCCAACTCCGTTCTTGCGAACTCGTGAATTCCTTTGGCAAGAAGGTGCTCCTTTCCAAATACACTTAGTAAAGATAGAAGATTAGTACCAAAAAAGAACCTTGTTTATTTCTGTTACTTAAGGTCACACTGCTTTCGCCAACCCAGATGATGCTATCCAGGAAGTGTTCCAGATTCTTGATCTTTATGCTGGCGTCTATACTGATCTCTTAGCAATACCTGTTGTAAAGGGTAGAAAGAGTGAAAAAGTGGGTTAAAATCAATTTGTAGATGGTATAGAGAAATTTCTGCATCTACCGTCTGACTGAATGTATGTGTTTCCAGGAGAAATTCGCTGGTGGTGATTTCACGACGACCGTAGAAGCATACGTGCCATGTAATGGCCGAGGCATCCAAGGAGCAACATCCCATCACCTTGGACAGAACTTCTCAAAAATGTTTGACATATCGTTTGAGGATCCAGCAACAGGTGGAAAGGTAGGTTTATCTTGAAAGATTGAATATGAGTTGCAAGTAACCAAGGATGAATGTAACTAAGCGTACCATTTGTTTGTACTTTTTCGATGGTTCAGCACTGGCGGAATAACAAAATTGCATCCATATTCAGAAAAATTGAAGGAAAGGTCTTTGGGGGTGTATTTTGTTCTAAATGTAGTTCTGAACGGCTTGCACTTAGGGGGAACGGCAGCGGATCCCAGGAGAAGGAAACGGAAGGTTCATTTTGGGCCGAAGTTTTTTTTGGAATGTTTCACAACTTTTAGGAAACTATAACAAAAGTTGTGTAGTAAGCTCAGATTTTCCAACAATTTTGAAATTTTTCAGATCTTTTATCCTCTTAACTGTAGCAAATACATAATTTATTCTCTTCATTGCGCCCTCCCTTCTCTTACGCCCCCATCCTGAAATCGTTTTTTAGAGGAAGTGGTGATTACATTTGTGGGGTTGTCAGCTATGACGTGCGGGCTAAATTATACCCGTAGAAGGTCCATGGAGTAAAAGAAACGGATCCTGCTGGTGATCCAACTTTCCTTGAACGGGCTTGCCACGCCACATGGCCTCGTGCAGCTCAATGTATAGGACCCAAGAAGTGCTTTTGGCATTTTGAAAATATGCTACAGAAGATTTCCTTCCTAGATTGGAAAAAACCATCGCAACTCAAATAGCTTGTCACAGTCACTGTTGCCATGATGCAGCTCCATTTCTTTTTGCGCGAGGTCTCAGGCCGCCATGGCATTGCTGCCTGTCCAGACTGTATGGCTGACAAAGTGCTGAATGCGATCCCGGACCTGGATCTGAAATTGTTGCTATTGAGCTGGGATTGATCAGCGTCTGTTGTGTGAAGCGAAGTGCCGTTGCTGCTCGTGGCGATTTCTTGGCGAAAGAAGGGACTGTCGAAAGTACGACCTTGTATGATTGAAGCCAAGTCCTTTCCACCTGAAGGTTTTTCACTCTCAGGAACGACCATTATGTGAGCCACACTAAACTCCAGTAATGGCATTCTGAAGCCATAATTTTATGAACTACTGCAACTACTGCGACGTCGCGCAGTGCCCAAATGTCCTCCAAATTTGAAATGAGAAGAAGAACAGAAATAGCGGTGCAGCTTACAATTAGGATTTAGGCATGTGAGAGAATGCGAGTGCCTATGGAATCAGCGTAAGGGAACTGAGCCGCACAGCTCGTGCACAGTTTACAAATTCATGCTGCCCCTTCTCAATTCGATTATTACTTATTCTTTATACTGTGACTTTGATGATTCAGTAAAAACCATATTAACACTTTGGAGACCGCGCGTGTTTTACGTTCCGCGGCCGCGCGGGACTTCGGTGAAATTTTTAGGGATCTTATCTAGCAAATTCAAAAGAAGAACCCACTGTGTAATGCAGAAGAAATCTTATCGGATAAAATGGAAAAGAAATGAATGAAAAACCTAATAATTGTTTCCGAAATGCGAGCTGAAAGGTCCTATGCGGTCGGAGGGCTGCAGCCCACATATGGGCTGCGTGGGCTCCAAGGTGTTAATAGTTATGTTAAGTGCTTGGCAAAACTTAATCAATGTAATGTACGTTTTTTCCAGATGTACGCGTGGCAAAATTCGTGGGGATTATCCACCCGTACAATTGGTGCTATGGTAATGATCCATGCTGATGACAGCGGTCTTGTACTCCCTCCGAGAGTGGCTTCAATTCAGGTATCAGTTTCTTGACTGAATCCGAATTCCTTATCCTTCTCAATGACAGCTTGGAAGTGTGAGTTTGGCTTAGTAGATTTTTCCTCATGAGTTTTTTTCAAGGCCATTGTTCTGCCAGTGGGCATCACTGCACAAACCACCGACGAACAGCGAAAGCAACTTATTGACACGGCTGACCAACTGGCGAAAACTTTAGTGAACGCCGATATAAGAGCAGAAGCTGACTTAAGGTTTTCTTTCTATTCACGCCAATGGAAGTTCTCGTTCCTCTAACTTTTCCTATTTTTAAGAGACAATTATTCACCTGGATGGAAATTCAATCATTGGGAATTGAAAGGAGTGCCTATACGACTTGAGGTGATTTTTTATTTCCTGGACTTTGTAGTTTAATACCTTTTGCCTTTTGTAAATTTTGCGGTGAATATAATGAAAATCTGAATTTTATTGTTGGAGCTATTCGAGTAATACAGCACTAGATGAGTTTGTGACGGTCTCACCAAGACGTGTGCGGCTGCGGCGCTGTCAATCGATAACAATCTAATGCGATTTCGCCGCAGCCAGTTGCAACTGCCAGTTCTTCATAACAAACCATATCATTTCTTTATCCTGCAGGTTGGTCCCAAGGACTTGGCTGCAAATCAAGTCACGGCTGTATTGCGATACAATGGCAAAAAATTGGCCATAAAACAAGACGAGCTCGTTAGCGAGATTAAGCGGCTTTTGGAAATGATTCATGTCGAAATGTATAATAAGTAGGTATTTCGATGTCGGTCACTTATTTTTGCTCTCCTTCCATTTATCTTTGAATTTCATGTTTTCAACATTGTAGGGTGTTGGCTGCTCGTGATGCACATATGAAGACGTGCTATGACTTTGAAGAATTTAAACAACTTCTGGATGAGAAATTTATACTATTGTCCCCATTCTGTGGTGAAATCGCATGTGAAGACGAGATCAAGAAGGCGAGTACACGAGAAGACGCGGATGCTGGAGCTGCTCAAATGGGAGCAAAGACCTTATGTATACCTTTGGAACAGGTAGGGGGTTTTGTCATTGATGATTTTTTTTCGGTTTTGTCGCAACCTTTTTCATTTCAGCCGAAGGATAAGCTACCAGATCAGTGTCTTTTCCCTTCGTGTAAGAACAAAGCTAAATTCTTCGCTCTTTTTGGTCGCAGTTATTAAATCGAGTTTTCTTTACCTGTTTCTCAATTGTTATAGTAAGTTCTTGTTGGGTTGGGCTTGACGCTGTTGTTAAGTACGTATTGATTCGCCATTCCACATAGCAGGTCATTCATCCTTGGATCGCTTCTGGGATTTCAAGGATTTTAAATGTAATTCAAGGAGGCTATTTCTTGAAATAGCTCAAGATCGTCACGATAGTTTCTGAGAAGTCCGATTGATATGGTGGGTTCACGAATTGCTACCAACCATCTGGCGCCAACTGTAAACTTACAAGTTCATTTTTTTTCGAAACCACTCATATAGCGGCTTCAAGTGATGTTTTGCTTGCTATGCGGTTTATTCTTGAGATCTAAAGATGCATTCTGGGATTTTCTGACCTGCTTACGTATTGGTGGTTGTATGGGTGGTTGGCTTGTGATATCGAATTTCTAATATCCGTTGATGAACATGAGCTCTTGTGTTTAACGAATGAAGTTATTCATCAGTGTTTTGTTGTTACCGTATTGCTTGGTTCAAGCGCCAGCCGATCCTTACTTTACAGCACATTCACTGACTGTTAGAAGCCTCTTTTAGTTCTTTAATTGGCGAAATTAGATATGATAGTCGCTCGACTGCCCATTTGATTATTTGTTTTGGGAAATGCATTGAATTTTTAGTCAGTAGATTGGAAGGGGGGGTTTGTGGATTCTGCGGTGGCATCCTTCGAGATGCCAGTTTCGCCATCGACGATTGGTGAGGATGTGCGGAACTGTGAATGTATGCTATACGAAGTTATTACGAAATGTTCCAGTTCTCTTGTTTCTGAATCTAATTTTTTTATGTCTTGTGTAGAAAAACGTGATCATTTGGTGTGCAGAATAGAGAAAATTTACGAGAGGACAGTGGCTGACACAGAAGGGTTCGACAAGAGACAACGGGAGATGCCGTGGGAAACATGTGTTATGCAAGTGGTATACTGAATTAGAATGCATTCTACGCAATGAAATACGTTTACTTACGTTATGCTTACTTGAGTTGATTGTATTCACGGGGATGGGACGATTAGAAGTGTAGATCTACGACTTATCCAACCCATTCTAGCACTATTTTCTGCTCCTCCTAGGCCATTCTGCCCTGCTTTGTTGCTGGATCAGTAATGGATTTACGGGCTTTTTCTTTCTCTTTGAAGTAGTTTACTTTTCGTGGAGTCGGTAATCCTCTTCCCATCGATTTACATGCTGACTTTTACCACACCTCAACATAGACTTGTTAGAGCCGTTCATGAGTACGGCAGGTATTAGCGGCGTTGGATGATACTAGTTAGCTCTATTTCATTTTTTTGTTTTTTCTTTTTGAATTCACCTCATGGAGTCTATACAGACTGCGAGAGAATTGTTGGCCGTCAAGCTTTTTTTTTTCAGGAAAATGTTATGTTAGAGCACTGGTGGTATAATTTTATTGAATCGCGATTTTTTAGATGCGGGCACAACAAGGCATCCTACGCTACGATGCAAACAAGGTCGGCAGATGAGGGTCAAACAGTGTTCTACACTTGTTTGAAATGTAAAAGGAAAGACATAGAGTATTCTTAACTACAGTTTGTACAGGAAATATTGTAAATTTGTTGAATTATATTGTTATTTGTTATAGATCTATCAGTTACTAATGAAGCGATTTTTTTGGTAAACGTTACCTAGTTCTTCAGTTCTCGACTATTGCACTTACTCTCCTTGTTTATCGTTGCTATTTTTGTATATTATCCCTGTATCCAATGATTCATAGATGTTAGAGTTAGGTTGCAATAATGTCTCGTGGAAGCAGTGCTGGTTTTGATCGTCACATTACTATCTTATCACCGGAAGGACGAGTTTATCAGGAGAGAAGGCCATTGCCGACTCAATTCCTGAACTCACCAAATTGCAGATAGAGAAATCATTCCTAATTCTCGTTTCGGCTAGCGTGCGAGTCCGAACATTGCTCTTACGTAGGCTTAATAATAATATGTATGTTTTCTCTTTCTAGGTGAATATGCGTTTAAAGCCATCATTCGACCAACTTGACGGCAGTGGCTGTGAAGGTACGGATTGGGTTTGCTTTTTGAAGCACTGTTGATATATGCAACGTTGAAGTTTTAGGGCGTCGACACAGCAGTAATTGCCGTGCAGAAGCGTGTTCCTGATAGCCTCATAGTAGCTGATTCAGTGACTTCAATCTATCAGTTGTCACCAACTGTTGGATGTTGTGCTATTGGAATGATTCCGGACTGCAAGTTCCAGGTGAGTAGGCTTTTTATGCAGACGATTTTTCCATTTCGGTGCTTGTTTTTCAAAATGACTACGAGAGGGTGCGCTTTCGCGTACTTGCCATCCGCAATCACAAGTCATCATCACCTCACTTCAAGTGTCCCTTCATCTCTTGAATGAACTGTTTAGGATTGTTCTTCAGTAAATCAGTGGATGAGGACTCATCCAAAATACTTTATTGGTAAGCTTTCGCTGTGCTAACAGCTTCTTCAGACCTAAACATACAAATCAAGCATAGCATACGTACACTTATTCTTAGAGCATCCTACTATATATAAGCGGCTAGCGTGTGTCTGTTGGTGTGTGTGTGTGTGTTTGACCGGAAATTCATAGCTCGAGTCACAGTAATGATAGCGCAGTGGTTCTTACATATGTTATAGGGGGTGGGATGGGGACACAAGTGGTACGTGATAGGAACTGATAACGACTGATAATAGCTGATAAGAGGGGCTAGAAAGCGAGCATCGCCAATTTCGTTTTGCCGTTCATATTGGTAAAAGAGCGTCTATACTTACAAGTGTTATGTGGGGCGGTCCCGGAACATTGGTGGTACATGATTGGAAGCGATAGCAACTGATAATGGCTGATAAGATGCGCTAGAACGCAAAAGTCGTCGATTCCGTTGCCTGGCTCGCGTTGACACCAGAGCAACCATACTTACAAGTGTTATGTGGGGTGGGACGGGGACATTGTTGGTGGGTGCCAGAAACTGATAACGATTGATAAGGGCCGATAAGGCGCGCCAGAACGCTGAAGTCGTCGATTCCGTTGCCTGGCTCGCGTTGACACCAGAGCAACCATACTTACAAGTGTTATGTGGGGTGGGACGGGGACATTGGTGGTACATGATTGGAAGCGATAGCAACTGATAATGGCTGATAAGATGCGCTAGAACGCAAAAGTCGTCGATTCCGTTGCCTGGCTCGCGTTGACACCAGAGCAACCATACTTACAAGTGTTATGTGGGGTGGGACGGGGACATTGTTGGTGGGTGATTGAAAGTGATTGCAACTGATAAGGGCTGATAAGGGGCGTCAGAACGCAAAAGTCGTCGATTCCGTTACCTGGCTCGCATTGACACCAGAGCAACCATGCTCACAGGTGTTATGTGGGGTGGGACGGGGACATTGTTGGTGGGTGATTGAAAGTGGTTACAACTGATAAGGGCTGATAAGGGGCGTCAGAACGCAAAAGTCGTCGATTCCGTTACCTGGCTCGCATTGACACCAGAGCAACCATGCTCACAGGTGTTATGTGGGGTGGGACGGGGACATTGTTGGTGGGTGCCAGAAACTGATAACGATTGATAAGGGCCGATATAGATGCGCCAGAACGCAAAAGTCGTCGATTCCGTTGCCTGGCTCGCGTTGACACCAGAGCAACCATACTTACAAGTGTTATGTGGGGTGGGACGGGGACATTGTTGATGCAACTGATAAGGGCTGATAAGGGGCGTCAGAACGCAAAAGTCGTCGATTCCGTTACCTGGCTCGCGTTGACACCAGAGCAACCATACTTACAAGTGTTATGTGGGTGGGACGGGGACATTGTTGGTGGGTGATTGAAAGTGGTTACAACTGATAAAGGCTGATACTGTCATCAGTATTCATCCGACCGGTAATCCCTCAAGCTTCCCACGAATGTCGAACATTTGTAGAGGGATCGCTCGAGTGATTGGAGCAGATAACGTCAACAAATCTCATTTCAATTGCAGTTTTATTTGCTCGGAATCCATTCGACCCCCAACTTGCTGGAACTTCTTTCTAATGCTGAATTTTTGTTACGAAACTTGCATAGTGCATTAATCAGTCAGCCAGTGCTCGAACTTATTGGACCGCTGATCCGTCCGTATTGCTTCACAGTGTTTTGGTGAAAAAAAATTATAGATTTTTCATAATTCGTTATTGCTCGCGAGATATGACGAGGAGACAAAATTAGGCATTGGCCAGTATCACTATTGAATGGACGTGGTAGCGAGCAGCTCAAAGTGGAAGAATAGGAAGAATAAAGTCAGCAATAGGATATACATGTGAGCTGCGAGGCATTTGGATGGAAATGGATTACAAGTAATTATGGGGAATATTTAGCTATGAATTCTGACAGAAACCATAAGAAGGCCGCACCGCACGCACACGGCTAATGACTCATTCAAGCCAGCATCATGAGCTAAAAAGTTTAGTTCTACTCCTGAAAATGCTCACGATATCCATTGTAGGTATCCCGACCCTAGGCCATTTCAATTGCAAAATTGGTCTTTAGGGCATCCGACCGCTCGACTGCGTCTGATTGAAAAAATTTTTTTGGATGTTTACATGACTACGAAGGGCTGTAGGAAATGGCTACTTAATCATTTACACCGTAAATATCACCAGCAGCGTTAGTCAGCAGTATGGATTCGACCAAAGTAAAGGTGCATTAGCAAAAAGGAGATGAAATGAGTTGATGGAAGTTGATTGTGCCGTTGCTCGACTGAATGTAGGATATTGGAAGTTACTGTAGGGTGCATGCGGTGAGAAGATCCGTGTGGATGCAGAACGAAGCGAAAAAAAGCCGATAAAAATGTTCAAAAGTCACAATGCAAATCTGCGTTTTCTTTTGTGTATACTCTTGCAATTTGCGTGGTATGGGATAGTATGTAGATGATGATAGAACGAACAGAAATCAATACGAGCCAAAGCAGTTAATATCGGATGTGCTGAAAATCAATTAGAAATGCGGAAGGAACATCATTACACTCAGCGCGACCGCCAAATGGTGTGAATTCTCGAAACATATTCTTGATGATGGTTCTTATCAAAATCTAGAAACAGCGGAGCTAACCACCGCGATAATCAATCCCCCTTATGAAGGGATGATAGGGAGTAAGGCAGCGTACAGAGTTGGCGATCGCAGCGATTAGGCGATTAGACAACTCGGCGATAGGGGATCCTAAGGAAAGTGATGGGCATTGATTAGAGCGATCGTTTGGTGGGACAAATCAAATTGTCAACAAATCAATACGTACCCCTCTTATCGTTTACTCGCCTACTCATCCAACCATCTGCTTGCCTAATCGCTTACCCTCCCGATGCGTATTCGATACGCATTTTCTTTTCTATCCATTGCCTACTCGCTTAATCGCCTGATCGCATTTACGATCCCCAACTCTAAAGACTGCGTAAAGATGCTACAACCATCGCTGACATTACCCCGTATCAACGTAATCATGAACTTATCAAAGGCTACGGTTGATTCTAGAAGAAGCGTTCTCATTTATTTCGTGTGAGTTCTTGAACTCGCATTAGGAATTCTATTTCAGGTAATTACAGCTACGTTGTAGATATTTTTAAGATTTGGGATTCAAATGGCAATAAGTAGTCATTGAAACTGGGTCCAACCACTAAAGCATGTAAGCAGTTGCTCGGGTGACTGTTGATTTTCGTTTTATTGTCCTAAAAATTCTAAACACGGAAAATTGATTAATCACCATACTTTCTCGATTATGTCTATCCACTTTTGCCTTTTCTGTATGCAAAACAGAACACTAATCTCAATGATATGATTTTTGATTTGTTTTTATAAGACTCAACATTCTCTCTGATTTCACTAGCACATAGTCACGCAGCAGGAAAAACTTCTGCTCAACCTCAAGATGGCATGAAATTCCAGCATTGACCAAGAACAATGGAGCAGAATAGAAGAAGGGGAAGACCTCGAGTTTATGCCAACGAAAGCGAACGCCTACGCATGAGGAGACAGCGCGAAACAGAACAAGAAAGGACTGTCCGTTTGGAGACCGAATATTCACGCCAGCATCAAAGGCGACAGAACGAAAATGTGGAGGACAGGGGTGTGAGACAGCGTGAGAACGCTGAGCGAATGAGGCATAGACGCCAGCTTGAAACTTCCGAAGAACGAACTTCTAGGTTGCAAGTTAACGCCCAAAGACAACAGCAAAGACGCGACTCAGAGGACGTTGATCAGCGATCTGCTAGAGTGGAAGAGAATGCCCAAGACAACGAAGGAGGCGTCAGTCGGAAAGCGTTGAGGAGCGACAAGTAGAATGGAGATGAATGCTCCAACGACAACGAAGGAGGCGTCAGTCGGAAAGCATTGGGGAACGACAAGTTAGAATGGAGGTGAATGCCCTACGGCAGCGAAGAAGACGTCAACTAGAGACCGGTGAGGAACGAGACGCTAGATTGCAATCGAACGCTCAAACTCAACAAAGAAGACGCGCATCTGACAGTGCAGAGGAGAGAGCGTCTAGATCGCAAGTGGAGGCTGAGCGCCTCCAACGAAGACGCGAAGTAGAAAGCAGCGGAGCGCGAGCAGCTCGACTTCAGAGAGGACGCTGAACGACATCAACGACGTCGCACCCAAGAAACCGAGCATGAGCGAT